TGATCTCGTCCTCATTAACGAAGAACTGATGGTTGAGCACGTTGAGTATGATGTCCCTTTGGGGCTTAGCGACCACTGCGTCCTCCGTTTCGATTTTATATGCTCCGCCGAAAAGCTCATCAGCACGCCAACCTATATCAAACGCTGGACTGATTACGGAAACTTGAACCTTCTCATTTCCGCTAACAGTTGGTCACCCGAGCCCCAATCGAGTGCCGACAGCGTAAGGTTAACCTTTTGCCTTACCTTACGTGAACTCTTCTCCACTACGACAACCTGCAAACGAGTTTCCATAGGCAAGAGCCGCCCAGCACTCATCCGAAGTCGTACACGGAAGTGGATTGCCTCCAGGGACAACGCATGGAGAAACTATCGCTCCCATCCAACTGCTACTCAGTGGGAATATTACCGATCCATCCGTAACCAATGCGTCCATCTTGTACGAGAAGATAAGAGTGAGCATCAGCGTCATTTTATGCGTAAATTTTCATCCAATCCCAAAACCTTGTATAGTCACGTAAACAGTCTTCGGTAAGTCAAGCACGGTGTCACCGCACTGACGACCCCCACAGGGCTTGTAGCAACCCAAAAGATATTCCTTATCCTATGTACACTTTTATTACTCAGTCATACAATATTGGTTTTGTTTTAATGCCGACCCTACGGCCATTTTGAATTACATCCGGTTCACCACTTGTCTCCACGGTGAGTTCCGGCACTGACGCACGCTCTCGTCGCTTCATTCGTTTTTCGTTCGATTGTAGCCTTCCGCGAATACAATCCGTTGTGTCCGTCCTTCTGGTTTTCTGGCATCTCTACCAGAGCGAGAACACTTTCGGGCTAGTAAAGACTAGTCCTACAAGCTCACGAAGTCAGCTAACGAGGCAACAGAAGTCATGTGCCATCAGTACGCCTCCACATTCTCCGTCTCATCAATACATACAACGATAGTACGTTCTTCGGTCTCACCCCCAACTTCCCTGACGACTGTTCATTTCACTCCGGAGAAGGTCCTGGTGAAACTCAAATCCCTGCGGCTAACAGCCTCTCCTGGCGCTGATCGTTTCCACCCAAGGCTCTTGCGAGCGTGCGCTGCATCTCTAGCTTTACCCCTAACTGAGCTGTTCACCCACTTCTCGCAAGGCAAAGTTCCGAATGACTGGAAATGTGGGACTATTACACCAATCTACAAAAGCGGTACTCACAAAGACCCGGCCAATTACCGATCGATAACTCTTCTCTACGATCTTTAAAGTGATGGAATCGATCGTCGCAGACGCTTTAATGGACCACATGGAGGCCCAGAAACTGCTCTTCGAATTGCCAGCACGGTTGCTGTCGGCAACCGTCGTGCCTGAGTAACCTGCTACTTGCCAGGGATAGCTGGACAACTGCTGCCGACTATGGACTAGAAACGCATGTTATATACTTGAATTTCGCCAAAGCCTTTGACAAGGTCGACCACAACATTCTATTACGGAAACTGTCGTCTTACGGCGTTTCAGGGGCCTTGATGGACTGGGTCCGGAACTACCTTCAAAACCGTATCGTCTAGGTACGCGTCGACGGAGCGTTGTCTCCCCGCATCCTTGCCACAAGCGGAGTTCCACAGGGGTCCGTTCTCGGAGCGGACCTCTTCCTAGCCCTCATTGATGACGTCACACCGCAAGTGGAGTCTTCGCTGCTGCTATCTACGAATGACGCGAAGCTGGGGCGCACAATTAAGCTTCCGGATGATGCCAACGCACTTCAGATGGACCTCGACGGTCTACATCACTGGTCCACAGAAAACATTTAACGCTTCGAAATTTCGCATCCTTTCTACCCGCCCTTCCGCCTTTTCTCCTATCTATTACTTGGGAGCCTCTATCCTCCGTATCTCTTCAGTCGAAAGAGACTTAGGTATTATTGACCAGACGAGTCTTTCCGTATCCGCTTCCTGCCGGAAAGCAGCAGGTGCTGCTATCCGCATGATGGGATTGCTGAAACGAATCTTCGGTCAAATTGAACTTAGCAATTTCCGCCTCCTCAACGCTTTTCTTCGACCCCACTTGGAGTTTGCTATTCAGACTTGGAGCCCCTGGTTGTTAAAGGACCAACGTATACTCGAAGCCCCACAACGTCGAGCAACAAAACCGGTCCGATGTCTCAAGCACGTAGATTATCCACGAAGACTTCACTGCCTGGGCTTATACTCGCTTAAGTATCGACGTCTCCGGGGCGACCTAATCCTTGTATTTATGATCTTATCCAACCCTGGACATCCATGTCGCCACCTAATCACACTGCACCAATCGTGCTCCCACCTACGTGGTCACCCACTAAGGCTCACACATCAGCACAGTCGGCTGAACTGCAGACGACACTACTTCGCTTTGTGAATCTGCCGACCGTGGAATGCTCTGTCTGTCGATTTAGTCTTGGCACCAACAGAAGCAGGTGATCAACGCGGCATTCCTAATAACGACAGCAAGAAAACAATATTTGTTCATGGAGTTCCCGAGCTTCTGCATTCTTCTGAGCACGATGCGCAAACACATGACCGAGAACAGTGGTGCTACATCCGCGAAGCACCCTCTGGTGGATTTTAAGACCCGCCTGGATTGTCGTCTGGCCGAGTTACACCGCGATATTCCCTGCTATAACTACCTTCTACTTGATGGAGTTTCCTTCCTTTTTTCTTCTACCTACTTTCTTTCCATAGCCGTTTCGGAGGGCTTGGTGAGATGTCACGCTTTGAGCCGGCGTGCATTCTGTTTAAGTGCCGCGCAAGCCCGATGAAGATACGGCTAACACGCGAGTGCAACTCGCTATAAGGTTGGTCGGCCTTTCATCAGACCCGACCCGAACTCTTTTTACCCTATGGGTGATGTAAAGCTCGAGCTTTTATTCCCATTAAATACAATGTTCCAATCCCTCGGTCAGGCAAGCCTACCGGGATGCTCTGCGCACCGAACTTTCGCTTTTTTGTCCTGTTGGTGGTATAGGATATCGGCAGCCATGCACGAGGCGGGAGCCTTCACTTCCGGCACTATCAATCATCACCGCACCACTCGCTGGATATCCGACAGTTCGTTGAACCTGTTGGAATCCGGAATAAAACTCCGGCTGTCTCTAAGCATAATGTAACTAGACGGACTATTAGGCGCGAATTAATGCGGAGATTGTGTGCTTCCATGGATGCCTGTTGGTCCAGTCAGGGACAAGAAAATGAGGAGGTGGGAGTAGTAGGTAATCGTCGCAAGCCCTTCTAGCTGATCTACACTACTAGTTCCAAAATACCAAGCGTCAGTAAGACAATCAGAGACAGCGCGTGTATCCTGATACACAATAAGGGGTGCCGTATGGCTCTTTGGGCCGAGCATTTTCAAAATCGGTTCAATCGGCCCCCTACGTCTGGACCTCTTCCTACTCAGTTAATGCATAATGAGCCATGGACGGTTAGTTGGGAGGCTTCATAGTAGGCTGAAGTCCGAAACTCGATCGCAGCCCTTAATCGTTTTCATGCTGCTGGCCCGGATTTTCTCTCACTCGCAATGTTTAAGAATGAAGATGAGGTCCTCTGCAGAGCACTGACCACCCCGTTCGCACAGGTTTGGAAGGTAGAGACCATCCCAGCTAATTGGAGGGAATCGGTTATAGTGGCAGTATACAAGAAAGGCAGTCGCACCGACTATGCTAACTGCAGGGATATTAGCCTAACGTCAGTGGTGATATCACTACTTGCCTCGATTCTCATTCGCCGTCTCATTGCGTAACGGGAATCCCGGATTGGGGAAGTGCAAGCAGGTTTCCACCCGGGACGGGAATGTATAGACCATATATTCACTCGGCGTCAGGTGCTAGAGCAGCACAACGCGTACCATAGACTCGCAACAACTGTGTTCTTGGACTTCAAGATCGCGTTCGAAGCTGTCGGTCGTTCCAGTCTACTCCAAATACTTGCACGGAAAGGTGTTCCCATGAAATATATGAACATTTTGTATGCCCTGTATTCGACTGCTACGTGCCGTGTTAGGGTCTACGGTGAAATGTCGGTTATCTTTCCAACAACGAGTCACCTTCAGGGTTGCTCAATTTCCCGTTTTTGTGCTATTTCGTCCTGGACCCCACCATGGAGTGTCATCTTGCAGAATCTAACGATGCAGGCGTTGTGGTGCTGCCTGGCGAAAAGCTAGTTGATCTTGGTTTTGCAGATGACATTGTTTTACTGTTTGACGATATTGTGGCGGCCCAGTCCATCCTGCATAACGTCTCTAGTGTGGTTTCATCATATAGCATGTACCTGGCACCTTCAAAGTGCAGTGTTGTTGCAGGATCACCAACCAGTTGATGATCCATTGACTCTTGATAGCGAGGAACTCGAGGTTGTTTATTGCTTCACTTAACTTTGCAGGTGCATCAGCAACCATGGGATCATACCAACTGAAGTCTTTTCACGTATTGCAAATCTAGAACTGTCTTCTTGAATTTGCGACATTTGTGATATCAGGAATTTCCCTCGGACGGAAAGGCTGGGTTTTATAGGGCCACAGTGATAGTTGTCCTACTCTATGAGAGTGAGAATCGGCCCCTTCGGTCAGATTATCTGAAGCACCTTCAAGTCTTTGGTCATCGTTGCCTGCGAAACATTACTGTTGTGGAATGGCACCAGTGTATCCGTAATGATGGTGTGCATAGATGAGTGCTAGGCAGTGATACTCAAGACAGTCCCTTAGAACAACGGATAGCACTGAGTAAGTTGCGTTGACTTGGGAACGTACTATGGATGTGTGATCACCGCTTGCAGAGAAGAGCCTTTTTTGTTTGCCATATGTAGGATGGCGCAATACTCGAGGTGTGCAAAAATTAACTTGACATCAGAAAACGAAATCAATGACGACCAAATGGTGCCCTCGGTCTGTCTTGTTTTCCAGGATGAAGTCCACCTGACCTGTCTTGTGCTTGTGTGCTGATAATGTGCATCCAGCTATTTTTGAGTCAACTACTGTTATTCTTCAGCTTCTACTTCTTGAATTGCACAACATTTTTTACGTGAGGAAGATCCGCAGGATTGGAAGGAGGTAGGTGCATTGGCGATCCATAAAAGGAGTACCAAATGTTGTGTCCCCGCTGACGCCTTCACCCCACAACCACCAGCAAAAGTCCCAAGACGAGGCGGAAAAGTAAGTCGTATTATGTATGGCGCAACAAATAGGTTATGGGCGACTGTTAACACAACAATATTGGAGATGCCAATTAGTGTGAATTAACACAACTCAAATGGTTCAAGTTCATAATCCAACTTGTCGTTGATCCCGCATAGATTCGCGTTGTGATCTCTACTCGTGTTCGATCCACTTTTACGCCACTACTCTCGGCTTGATCGCTGGCTGTAAGCTTTCTCTCCTTGACACTAAATCTTCTGCTAATAATTACACCCTGGTAGTCTGACCAGCATGCATCCGTAGTGGCTGGAATAGCCTATTAGAGCTAGAATAGGCAAAAATCTGGCAGCTTACAATTTGATCGGAGCTCAACAGCTTTCTTTAATAAAACGCCATGCTTTACCAGTCTGTTATATTTCATTGATGAAATAACCCGACATCTTGATTGGAAAATCGGTAGAAGGGTGTTACTTTTACTTCACTGAAGCTTTCGATTGCGTGAATCATCGCGTTCTGCTAGAAAAGCTGAGCAGGTTTGGACTCCGCCTTCAGTTGCTCTTTTATCTGTTTGCGTTCCTTTGTGGTAGGAAATTTCGTGTTAGGGTTAGTGATGGAACTTCGAGCACAAATACCGCTAACAGTCGTATGCCGCAGGGTTCAGTACTTGATCCCGTGCTGTTTCTTATGTTTGCAAATAAATTGGTCCCACTACTTGAGGATCCATACTATGTTTCTGCTGATGTTTACAGGCCCGTTAGCAAAAGCCGATAGGGCTACACCATTTAAAGACTTGGTTACTGCTATTAAGCGGTTACGCTTACGGGATTTGCCTTTGCATACCGGTAAATGCTAAATCCTGACTCCAGTTGATGAGGTTGTCATACTACATGCACTTGTTGGATCATTGATAATGCAGCGTGCTCCTGAAGCATGCGATCTTGGTATTATCTTGAAATCCAACTTTAAGCCGTCAATGCAGTGTAGGAATGCATCTGAAAGACACTACAATGGGGTTATTTCGACCAAGCAGGACTCTGAGTTGTACAAGATTAGGGGTTTTTCTCACCATGTCTAAAGCAGTGGTCAGGTCACACTTGAAATACTGTAGTCAGGCTTGGGCACCCTATCTGCAGAAGGATATCAATTGTAATGTGAATGGGCAGCGACTGGCCGCCCGAAAGGTAAACGGACAACGACTTTTGTATGAAATTTAGTTAGTTAGGATTGTTTTCAAGGAGGAAATAAAGAATGAGAGGAGACTTAACAGGCACCTTCAAAATCATGAACATTCTTAGTGGTCTCAGGCTCACCGATCTCTTTGGACTAGCTACATCACACCGCTTGCAAGATCATTGTCTGAAATCGAAATAGCAAAGATCTGAGATCGATATAAGAGCTGTTCTTTGCAAATCAGATTGTTCTTAGCTGAAACAAACTGCCCTCCGCCTTATTGGAGAGTAACAATTAGGGAAACCCAAGCGATGCCCAAACATAAGTTGGTTTGCTCTTCTCCCCGAATTTCTGTGAAAGTTCATGACAGTCCTAGTAACATCTGCAATTTCATGCAAATGTTGTAATTGTTCTGCTCTTTCCCTCGTCTTTCTCCCTTAGAGACGCAATAATCGACTTTCAAGTTTAAGTGCTGGGAACTCTGCTTCACTTACTGGTATACCAAACGGGACTCGCGTTGGACGAAAGCTTGTCTCGTCCCTGGATCCTGTCTTGTACTATCCTACTAGGACCACTGCACTTCACACCTGTGATGGATCTGAATAATGCAGTTGGTCTTCGAATGGAGTTAATAATATTTCATCCGCAATATTTAAATGACCTGTTGGACACAACTCGCCGGTTCTCTTGGAAATCGCACGCTTTTCCATGCAGTCCTTCACCATGCTCTGCATATTTGCAAGAAAAATACAAATTATTAACGAAGGAAAACTGCTCGAATAGCAACAGCGAAACTTTGCGATCAGATAGAAACTGTAACCAACATCATGATAAGGCTGAACCTAACCTTCAGAAAGGGAGGCACGTCTTGGACGAACTTATACGTTTTGAACATAGACTTTTGGAAACACTACGGATACTCACGGTATTTGAATCGTTAATTCAAAACGAACCTATTTTAGATGATCAGTGAAGAAATTAACGGTAGCAATCACTGGCGGGATCACAGTTTCTTGCGTGAAATATTCAAAGATATTCCCAGCCTTTATCGTCTTCACCAGCATTTAACTACTAGCCTTGACGAGTTGGACGTCAATCCAGTCAAGAACATTCTCCCATCTGTATTTATAAATGACACGGAAACCCCTTTCTTAAATATATACAAGAGCTTTATCAGCCGATATGGACCAAATTATCAGAGACTTACAAACCTTGTTTTAAAAGAGAAGGAATTTTCAAACCTTGCCAAATTGTGCGTGGTAAGTCTATTCTACAGACGATTTTGGTATCTTTTTAGTTCATAGTAGTGTAATTTACTAGTGTGCATTGTTCACGCTGTCACCATATTTTCAACTTTAAAGCACTGAATATAAAGCAGCACTGCTTCTGCAGAAAACCTGTATGGTCCAATTATTGTGCAGTTCTTGTTATCGCCGAGTTTATGGTGACAGCTGATGGTAATGTTTATTTGGCAATTTGTGTTGTATAGAGCATAAGCGATATCCAATGTCAGCTCCATCTCTTCCGAATCACCGCGTAGGTGAAGCTGCTCTTTTAAAAGCGGCCATCTGGAGAAGGCCGCGACAATCGCGGCGATAGCGACATGGGTGAACTTTGCATAAGGGAGTCCGTCGACTATTTGCAACATTCATCTGTCCTTGAAGTAACCTCAAGCTCTCTCAGTTTATTATAGGCGCTCACCACCCTGTTAGATAAAGTTACATCATGACGGACCTGGAGCCTCCTTGATTTAAACAGCTACTGACTGCACTTTCTTGTTAAGCCATTAATATTGCGCCGAAAAAACCGTTGTAGTTCATTCCCCAGTTTTCCCCTGAAAATGTATATGTCATAAATCAATTTTTCACGATGATCGCGGTGGTCCAATGAGAACAGATTCATCTACTAAAGTCGAAGGCTTAGTAATCTAGAGATCCTTTGGTTCACCTGTGCAAAATTCTAACTAAACTTATTATTGCATTGGACGCTTAGGCAACCGTTGCTGATTGTTGAACGGGTTGTTGAGTTCGATTTATTGAGTCGAGCATCGCCCTTTGCTTGGCGATTGTTTCGATTGCACCCAGCGACCGCCCCCATGGGGCGTGCATTTTTCGTTCCACTAGCTAGTAGCGTTCACCGGAGTCGCCTTTCCATAACTAAGCTGACAGAGAATCTTTTGCTGTACAACTAAAAGTATCCATGCAACTCGATCTGCATTCTGGAATTGCCATTCGGACTCACGCTTAAAAAGGGATAAGGTAAACTTCGCAGCCCTGACAGATTTGTTGCGTTTCTGAACTCTTTCTAACAGAATAAACACAATCTTCATTCTAAGATGCCTCTAGCCATTGAAATCATCCCCAAAGATCAAGCAGTCAACATGAACCGCCAATTGAAGACCACTGAACAAAATTTTAAAAATGTCAGTGCCAAGGACAGATCCTTGCGGAACGCCGCTGGTTATGAGCACAGGAGAAAGGAACGCGTTGTTGACGTTCACCCGCATGCAACGACTTCCATGAACGCAACAGTCCATGACGAGATTACCGGAGACATCGATTTCCCGGAACTTAAAGGGGAGTGGGTCATGCGGTACCATGCCAAAGGCCTCGCTGAAATCCGCAAACAAAACATCCAGGCATTCTCCAGAATCTACCGAGTTTGTCCATTTTTCTTGGTAGCTGAGCAGGAGTATCGATGTTTTAAACCTCGAGATGAAGCAAAAGGGCTTGTTTAAAAATTAACCTCAAGGTATTGCAAATGCTCGACGTCAGACAAATCGGCCTAGCTTTTCAAAGATCTTGTCAGATTTTCCCCCTCGTGGATAGGTTTCGTCATATCTATTTTCCAATCAAGAGTGAGGCGATCACCTTCGAGGGAATGGCAAAACCATCGGAAAATTAGCTGAGGAACATACTCAATCACTGTTTTGAAGATCAACGGGTGAACATCATCAGGACCTGCACAGGAGTTCGGACTCGGCTCATAAATTCTTAACATCATGTTTTTGTTAATCTCACCATACTCTAAGGGTGCACATACTTTCTGTTTAGCAAGGATTCAACAGACTATACTGATTAATACTACGGGACTATATGATAAATTTTCGCCTCGTGGTCAGGAAGTATAGTTTCATCACCTTTCGAATACAAAGTAGGTATGCCACAACTCGTCTAAGTACTTCTCTACAAGTAACAAAACTTGAATCTGCCCGTTTGTATTGCTATGGATTAGGGATTTTAGTTCGCTACTAATTCAAGATGAGCCTTTGGGAAATGTCTACCGGCAAAATTCGGTACAACGTCGTTAATCAGAGCCATCGATTTGGGGCGCTAGATTTTCCAAGCGGTATCAAAATCCAAATTTTTGGGGGTGCCAGAAGTTCCAACAAAATGTGCTTAGCTGATGCTCGGTGGATCATCCTGTCTATAGAAAGGAAAGCGTACGGCGATCACTTGACCCAAATGGCTGGATAATCTGTAAATCAGAGATATCCGATGGTTGAGTTGCGAATACATGGTAGACGATGTGTGGTGATTGGCCCGGAATTATCCGAGTCGGTGATGTGACGTGTTTAGGTAAACTCGCTTCGAGAACAGTTTCGGGGAGTACAGCATCTAATGACTCCGGAAGGTGATCACAGTGAAGTAAAGAACAGTTTACGCTTGGGACATTGAAGTCTTCTGTCATTAAGCAATCCTTGCCTCTGCTGCGCTTTTTTATTGAGTCCAGCAAACTGGATACGGAGCCCAAGGGAGGTCTGTGAGCAACACCAGCCATGAGTGAGTTGAGTCCATTGTGAACACGACACCGAAGTATTTCCGAACCATAAAAAGTCTCATAAATATCATATACAGTAAGCACACACAACCCGGACCTCCAGCAGGGCATATCATCACCTCCAGACCTGATGCCAAGACGACCAGTTCGAGGAAACTGATAACCAAGAGGATGTATCTAAGAATCAAGCATTTTCGAAGACAGACAGGTTACAGCAAAAGCCAGCAAGTCAGGATGATGGTGTAAAATAGGAAGTCGAATCCCATCCAATTTCTATCGCAGGCAACGCACATTGGTGGACATCACACGTAATTGTCTACATAATCTTATGAAGCAATACCTGTTTTGCTTTTGAACCGATTTAGGGATAGGGTTAGAAGAATGGATGAATTTCCAGTGTCTTGAAGTACTACAGTCGAGTGCTACTCACACAAGCTGTTTCAAGTTGTGTCTGATCTTATTCTATTGTGTGCCAAGGTCATTTTAACTCAACGGAAATGTCATGCAAACAATACGATTAGTTTGGTCTGTGTCCCCCTGTTCGGTATTTTCTTTCAGGGGGCTCTAGGAGAATGATCAGATTTAACACGGCGTGTTTGAATGACCAAATCACATACGTTTGGTAGAAATCTTAGTGGCGTTCCTGAAGTCAGTATACCAGGTGCAAACAAATTCTAGCCTAATGCCTATGCGCCTAACGGCTAAGCAATATTTTTGATCAGCCCACTTCTACAAACAGCATTTATTCATTCCCGTTTGTCAGCAAAACGGTTCCTTTTAGAAACTTTTGTTTGTGCGTTTTACCCTAGAGAAATAGGTCTATTAAACCATACCTAAAGGTCAGTATCAGTAGCATTGTTCATAAGAATATTGTTTTGGTGTTTTTTAATTTCGGGTCTGTTTGGACCCAACTACTTCATCTAATAGTGTGATGTATGATGTGCGTTACGGTACTTTAGTCAACTGTCTTTGCCCTATGGTTTTCTCGCCTCTGGTTTAATCTATAATTTGCAACTAGAGAGTGCTTAGGGAGACGGCCATAAACTTGATACCGACCGTTTAGTGGAAAATAAATCAAACCTGACCAATGCTTTCCACCCACCGCTGTTCTTTGCTTTGGTTGCACATAAAAGACCGATGTTTGCAAATTTGTGGGGTTGAGGAATTCTTATCTATCGACTGTGATCAATGTTTTATTTGTTAAGCGATCTCTTTGGGTATATTTCAACTGTGGTCGGTACTGCTCAGCAATTTACTCGACTGTACATACTTGGCCTTGTTCAAATTTTTGCATTTATCCCTCTATTCATCTATTATTTTCTCTATCAAATGAATTGGAATCTCATTTTCGTTTCACCTCGCTTGAAAATTTACCTACAGGTCCAAGTACCAACTTCTATCCTGGATATTTTATACTATCATCCTTGAATACTAAAAGGTTTGCTCCTTTATAACATGATGATACTGTTCACTCATACTATTCAGTTTACTATATCCTTGTGTTCATGTAATTTCTATCTCTGATGGCTGCTTTTCAAATTTGTATTACTTATGCACTGTTGCGTCAATTTCCACGCTTTTTACTCTCTAAAGGTCTAAACCAGCTTACGTTTTGGGTTGCATCCACGATCATAAGCACTGATAAAGCGTTGCTCTTTGTCGGGGAAACAATAAGGCTTTATTAGGGAATAACCGTTTAAACAAAGAAAAATGAAGCCTACCGTAATTCGTCCGTCTCGTTTTCTAAGCTGAGACCCACGCACCTACCTTGTGCCTAGCTCGAATTCACAGAACATGACGAGCATCCGACACCGATGGTCATCTCCTTGTAGTGTTGCCTGTTTAAACTGGGTCTGATTTTGTTAAGTCTGCGTATTGAGACAGATTTTGACAAGGTAGTAAACTCCGCAATGTATCTGTCTCTTCCATGTGCCATCTAATCATGGTACTATAACGGACTTTTGTGATACTGTAATGTTGAAGCAATATGGCCGCATTGACCATGAATATTTGCCTAGGACATTTAGCTTTTACACTAAGTACGTTTCCCTCCTTACTGAGCTTCATTCCATAGGTCATCATCAACAGTAGCGCATCAGTACTCTGAATTACTGTTTCATTACCATGATCTTTATCTCGAAGTATGGTATGTTACCATCTTTGAATTCCATATTCTTTAGTGTCTCGCTTTTTTATGCATGTTATCTTTTGTGTTGCGACACAATCGTTGAAGTGTGTTTCTCACCTATAGCTATTGTGTAATCATGATGATGGTCGTTATCATACAAGCATAATGGCATCTGAAATGACGAGCAATAAGGGGACAGAAGGAAACTCACTGTAAAATCTGGATAAGCGAAGCAAACATTCAGGAATTAAGACGCCTAAATTGTGTCGACATCCCATGATCACAACTAGTCGCCTGTAGTAGGCTGATCAGACAACATTACACAAATAGTTTTCTTGCCAAGTTCATTGC